ACCACATAATTGTAATACTTAATTTTTTTTTGTGAAAGACCACGTGTCAGGCGATTACTAGACATGGCGGTTTACAATCACTCACAAATCTTTATATTTAAAAATATAATTCAAAGGAAAACTTTATTAACGTTTCGCGTTTCGCTTTTTTAGCTTTTCTAATAATCATCTTACATGCTTCCTCGAAGAGGAAATGTAGAATGCTTTCAATAGATCGATTACAACTCGTTCAAAGAAATAATGAACAAATGGCGGCAGATAAGCGTTCATTCTATTATCATTATGATTTTATTAAAATTTAGAGTTTGTAGCAGCAAGCAATAAAACGTGTGGGGGCTCACTGCGTTTCTTTTAAAGCAAAAATCACGAATATAGTTGTGTGGAATGCTCAAACGAAAATACTTCTATTTAGCGTTTAAAATATAAAGAGTTTTGCAATGCTCTATCAATCAGAGGTTTTAATGAAAATCGGAACTTCGCCTTGCTTATAAATGCACTTTTTTCTATAACAGCAAAGAATTTCAAGAACAATTTTCAGTCTTTTCCAGAAAATGTTAAAAATATCATAGGGTTTTTGTGTAAAGAATCCCTCAAAATTCGAATACCTTAATGATTTCCGGAATGGCACAACTGAACCTTACCCCCTGACGTATTAATCAAGTCTCAGCTCAAAAGCTTCTACTAATAGAGTTATGCATGACACATCCAACGTATATCAATAGATTTTCCGGTACACACTTCTCGTCTTCAGCTGCATCAATCTTAACCATATTCGGAACAGCAATATTGGACGTTAATCCTGATGTGTGTGCAAAGTTACAGATGAAAAGAAGCTTAAACACGGATTTTATGCTCGATATTCGAGATAGTAATATTGAGGTGATAATATTTTTCCTCCCTATATTAGAATACGGGGAGGAAAGGTAAAATTAATTATATAGGAAATAAAATATATTGTTCTTATAAATATTCTTTTCCACTATTTGTTTACACGTGCTTTCAAAATGAGAAATGAAACATATTAAAGACAAAGGAATGGACATCTTAGTCCGAATAGTCGGCGTTTGAGGATGTTCGACTGTTTGCAAGTTTTCCTCCCTCGTTTGTGGGGGCAAAGTCCTTTCTGAGAGAAACACTTTCTCAGAGCTTCATTGCCCAATCGAATCAGAGGCGTGGTCTGTGCCACCAGTGTCCGAAGTTCACGCATTGGACGGAACAGTCATTTCGAGGATATTCCCTACTACGTGTTTGTCTTGTGACAAATATTATGTTATTTCCAAATTCAAGTGTCTGAAAAACGTAACTGCCACCATTAATGTTCGAACAAAATTAGAACAGTTGACTGTTCAGTTAGCTACATAGGAGAGTGTGGAGGGGCGCGGTGTTGTCGCCTACACGCTCTTCCACCTTACGATAGCTTATTAACAGTAACCACAAAACTAACAGAACACGCTAATCACAATTCTACCGAACGCAACTAACTTTAACACTCCACTCTCGATACTTGTAATCGTATTCAGCTGATTAACAACATTCCTGCCATATGGTTCATTTGTTTGGTAATTTGACGTGACAACCGAAGGCAAAAATGCAGCAATTCTTATTTGCTGTTGTTGGGGTTACGGCATTGCCATTATCATGTGACAAAGATCTGTCAACCAAATGCTAAGTAGGACAGGAAAGTCCTTTAATGAAATAATTACCATGCAACATCATATACGGGATTTCTCGTACAAATTTCGTTGGAAAGCAATCCTCAAATCAGAGTAATAAATCAGTTTATATTATAGTTTTGATTTATTTACAATTGGTCTTCTCTTTGTGGGTTGAAATCGCTAAGGATGCTTTAGGTTTGTTTATGGAGTCTCGTGTGTGTCCTGTACACACTAAGGCTCACAAACATTGTTTCTCAGTTCGTTTCCTGCCCTCTGTTCTCTGCCCTTTTCATCACGTGTGATTTTCATACTGTTTCTCAAAACTTTCTGCCCGTTTCACCATCGCGCGCGATTCGCATTCCGCATCTCGCAGTTGTCGAAGGCTATTGCAGGGCGCTGACATTTCCCTGGCAGCCCTGACGGGGGCGTGCGTCTTCCAACTAGACGCCCTGGGCGAGGGCGGCGGTTTATGTGTTAAATATGAAGACATATGGAAGCACTTCAAAATACGTGCTATTTCGATAGAACGGCGCATGGCTTAATCGAGTGTCTTTAATTCACAACAGAATTTTACTGCATTTGTTAATTATTTTCAATAGGGCCTGAAATTAGTAAGGAGGCTGATGGTTAGAGTGTGGAGTCCTGTTCACATTAAGGCTCAAATATATTATTTCTCAGTGCGTTCTCTGCCCGTTTCGTCATCGCGTGCGATTTGCATTCCATCTCATGCAGTTGTCGAAGGCTATTGCAGGGCGTCGCGCTGACATTTGCCTAGCAGCGGAGCCCTGTCGTGGGCGTGCGTCTGCGAACCGTCGCCCTAGACGCCCTGGGCGCGGGCGCGGGGGCGTGGGCGCGGGCGTGCGATCAATAGCGCTGACGTCGTCGGCGCGCGGCGACCCGGTTCCCGCTTCCCGGGCCGGGGCCGCGGGGCCCCCGCGCGCGCGCGCCGCCCGTCCATGCTCCGGGGCCGGCCCCATAAAACGCGGCGGACGCCGTACCGCGCGAGCCTTAGTTGTACGGTGCGTCGGGAAGTGGCGGTCGTGTGAAAGAGTGAGTGCAGTGCTGCTTCGCGAGCGCGAGCCGCATTTCTTCCGAGTGCGGTTCCTCGTGCGAGTGAGTGCATCGCAGTCGGCCGTCCACGCCTTTAACTCCCCAAGCGCAGCCTTTCCTTCGGGATCGCCAGCATGGGTGGAAGGGCCCGCGGACGCGGTGCTGTCGCCGCCCCAACACGCCCCCTCGGCACAAGAGCGAGCCGTGAGACCCGGCGCTAAGCCGCTTTTTTTCTCTGCTTCGCCGATTGTTTCTCCGCCACGGAGCGGCGACTCTCAGGCGAGAGTGCCGTTTGGAGGTCGGGTGCGGGGCGCGAATGTTTCGCGGCACCCCATCGCCAGCCGCCAGTCTCGCCGAAATAACCCACGAAGGCCCAACGGCTCGAAAATACCCCGCGTGGTGCGGCCGGGCTCCGAGAGCTGGGCGCTGGGCAGGCGGACAGTGGGCGGTTGGTCATTGGGGCAGTGGCTGGTCGCGGCAGGCTTTGCTTTGCTTTCTGGTTTCTCGTGCAAGCGGCGCCACAACGGCGCCAGGCTGCTGCGAGGGGTGCGTCGGGCGCGCGGGGGGGGGACGCGGCGGAGCGGGCCTGCACGCGCTGTGCTTTGCGTCCAGCGGCCGCGCGCCTGCGGAGCCACCGCCGCAGCACGGCTCAGTCAGCTGGCATCACTGACAGCGCCCCCCCCCCCCGCCCCCGTACCGTCCCGGTGTCCACCCGTCGCCTCTTCTCTTTTCTCGCGACGCCGCTGCTCCGTCTGGGCGCGCAGAGGGGTCTCTCCGCGCCCCGCTCCCCCCTCCACCTCAACCCTCAACCCGTCCAGCCGCTGCCCGCCTCCCACCCCCGCCGCGCCGCTTTCCGCGCTGGCACAAACAAACAATGCGCGTGACCCTGGAGGCCTCCGCGGGCGCGCGCAGGTGGCGGCGCGGCGGCAGGGCTTCGCGCCCACCGCACTTCCGCAGCATCCCTCGGCTTTTAACGACCTTCCTATTCCTAAACGCCCAACATAACCTCTGTATGTTATGTGTTCCGGCATGCCAAGTTTTTCAACAGTAACATTCACGTCGCATTCGCTCTTGGCTGAATGCGAAATTGCGCTCATCCGATTTTTCTAGGTCGCGAGTAGCACGCTTGTATCGCTGGCGCGTGCGGGGGCGGCACCGTGGCGGGGCGGGGTGGGGGCGAGGCCGGCATTAGCGTTGACCCAGCGCGCGCGCCGGCGTGGCGTCACGGCCTTGGAAATGCTTCCGCCGCCTCGCCACCGCCGCCGCCGCTGTTTGCT